AAAAAAGTTGCACATGTAGGAACAGTGACTGAATGAATCCTGCTGTTGAGTCTTTGATTGTTGGAGTCGCTCCTTTTTGGTGAAATAGAGATGGGAATGGTAATAGTCAGGCAGGCTAATGTTAGTATCCTTCCAGTATTGACATCAATGCAGGAGGAAGACCAAAATCACACTTTCTGGAGAGCATGTTCTTATGGGCTTTCTGGTTTGACAAGGAATCCCACACAGAGTCCAGCAGGTTTTAGTTAAAGAACGACACCAACACACACATTTTAGAATGAAAAGTCTGACTTCCAGGTGGTGACCCCTTCAAATATGTCTTCAGCACTCATAGATTAACTTCATAGGGATTATAGTGGTTGTATCTTCATGCATCTTGATGAAAATATTAATATAGCCTATACATTTTGCAAAGTGGGCTCCAATAGAATTAAACAAATAAATGACTCAACAGACTGAACATCCAAATTTTCAATGGAACTACAAAATGTTGGTGTATTTACAAATAATCTAAATAAAAATGAGGCTGAAACAGATGGATGGTGAATACTGATGTTTGCACAGGACCTGGGGTTTCGTGGGACAGATGGTGTTGCTTTGCAATTTTATAACTGAAGCTTAAATGTTCATTTTTGTATGATGTTACAGTCCAGAAGCCCAAAAACGAGCTAAAACCAAATCTGAAAATGGTATTTTATCTACAGTATTTGCCTCCCACTCTTTGCCGCCTGAGGACACTTATTTCTGTTCTCTGTTATCTTTCACCATCACTGCTGTTTGGATTTATGTTTGTACATGAAGGATATCAAATCCCACACGCGGCATGAATCTAAACACCAGTTGCCTGCTGTCTGTTTGTGCAATTTGTTTAAATATCTATAATTCAAGATACTGTGGTCTTGTCTTTTTTTTTTAAACCGTTAAATACAACCCATGTTCCCCCGAGTACATGTAGACAGTTTTTCCAACACTCTCATCCATCTTCACCTTTTTCCCCCATTTCTCACTTTGCTCTCTAGTGATGCTGGTGGAGAGAAGCTGCCTAATAGCTGCGCTGTTGAAATGTGGGACAGTGTCAGTCCAGACTGAACCAAAGGGCAGCTCTCTGGAGCCACAGGGCTTGATCCAATGCATTGCTTTTCCTGTAATAGAGGGCGAGTGAACTTGTCTGAAAAGTATTGCCTGTTTTCAGCCCTTTCATTTAACCTAATGTATAATACATTTTTCAATGGGCAAACTTAGGGCAGGTTTTAGTGCATCCTGGAACACCGGACATGTTCAAGTTAAATAAGTATTTTTACTTACTTTTTACTGTTTTTTTTTTTTTTTTTATGGATTCTTTGTGGAGATGCCAAAAGTGAGTTATTTTTGGCCTTGGTTTCTCCATTATATTTCTCAATTCTTATTTACTCACTCTGATATAGAAGGGATTTTTTAGTGTGTAAACACTTTTTTAGGAGATTCCTGCATATGTGGAAAGCAGAGGAGTATTTGTGGTGGCAGTGCTTAGCAAAGGTAGTAATTTCCGAATAAGGTTCTGCATATTTAAAGTTGGTGCTTTTAAAGATTTTTATAAAAGAGAAATCTAAAGAAAATTGACCCAACTTAATCTGTAACACCTTCATAAAATCCACTGATTGCAGGTTTTCGAATAGAGTCCATCTGTGCATCAGTCGATCACAGTTTGAATGCAGCTTTTCTTTGAGGAGATCAGAAGTCCGTTAGTGGATGTAAGTAAAAAGACATGGAGTAAAGATTGGTATTTCCAGGACAAAGCCAAAGTCTGCTACCTTGAAGGCTAGGACCGGGACCGGATCTTCTAGATAGCCTTTTTTTGTAATTAAAATGTAATTACTCATGTGAAAAATGTAATTACTCATCCAAAATCACTCTGTACAATCAAACTAATAATGCGCATAATAAATGAATACATAAATGCATCCACACGTTACGCAATCTTTGAACTGAAGTCACAAATTTTTATTGCCTTGTAATTGTGTTATCATAAAAAAAGATTAAAGCAATTAAAAAAGAAAATTAAAACTAAGGACTGTTTGTCTCCAGCATTCTTAAGGCAGAGGCAGGGCATATTCTAGACAGGTCACCAGTCCAGCGAAGGGCGACATAAAACCATGCACTGAAACAAACTGACCACTACGGGCAATTTGGAGATAATCTTTTTGGACCGTTGAAGAAATCAGGAGTACCTGTAGAGAACCTATAAATTAGAGCTTCTGTCTCAATGCAAGTATTTTAGAATCTCTAACATGTTTTCTTACAATATTGCCCTATATTTTTGCACAGTACTGGGGTAATTGGGGTTCAGTGGGATGTTTGATAACCCCAAATCCAGCTCTCTCTACTTGCCAGATGTTAAGGTGCCTTCTCTGTTTATCATGTGCAAACGTGAGTCTGATTGGCACTGCATCAATTCATTTAATTTACAATTCATTATCACTGCTGGGGTAAAACCATCCCCACAGCATTATTCTTCCACTACCTTATTTAAAGTATTTAAAGTATAAATCAGTTCTCTTTATTTTACAGTTATGCAGTGCTTTAATCTTTGTCTTTCTTCTTATGAAAATATAAAAATTATGTTAATATTTAACTGCTGTAAATGAACATAACTTTACAAAGTTCAATACTTATAAATGCTTTAGCTATTGAGGGTTTGTTATGAAAACATTTTAGCAGTGAATGTGTGTAGCGGTTGTGCTTGTGGCTAAATGTGTAACAGGACGCCCCCAGACAAGACAAGGCATTAGAGAATATGTGTGATAGTGATCTGATTCAGATGAACTGCAGGTGGGAAGGTCGGGTTATCGCATGATCCCTTGCGGCAGCCAGTGTGAAAGGCTGCTCCACCATGTGCATGCACACAAACACGCTCAGACAGTAGTGAACACTGCGGCCCTGTTATGGCCGGGTGCTGACATGCTTTACGTTCGAGCATATTTGCTGAGCTCTCCTGCCACACTGCAGTGTCAGTAACCAGATGAAGACTGGTTTGACCCTAACGTCCTTTCTCCATCCTCCCACATATGGGTTTCACATACATTCTGTCATCTACCTCTGGATAAGCCCCCCCACCCCCACCCCAGGGTCAGCTGCAGGTCAGACACAGAAGGTTTGACCAGTCTGAGTTATTCCACTCAAGCAGTCAATATCAAAACTGTTGGTTAACCTACCTAACTTTGTTTTCTCCTCATAGGACTATATAAAGGTTTCACACTCATTCACAACCTCACAAACAAGCGTGAGGCTTTGTGTCTGCACACATCGGCTCCCAAACCCCTCCACCCTCCCAGTTTGACAGATATATGACCCTGGTTTTCCCCCTCTTGAGTTATTTTTCAGTAAGGCTGCTGCTCTTTGGGGCTGTCACTATCTGAATAGACAGATGAATGTTGGGGTGGAGAGAGGCAGACGGGAATGGACAGATGATAGAGCCATCAGCTTTGATGGTTAGGGAACGGATCTTTGACATCTGACATTAAAATGTCCCGATCTGGCTGCAGATTTGGTCGACGCAATTCAATGTGAAGAAGAAACATCCCATTTGAGATGTATCACTCTGTTTTTTTTAAGCTTTTTTTGTATGAAGGTGGTCTTGGCTTCAATTTCAAAGTCTCATTGAGGGAATTAATCATTCATCAGGAGAAGAAGGGAAGCAAAACACAGCTAGGGTTTCACAACGGCTTAATTGTAGCAGCAATTAATTCTTCAAAGCCTGTAACCAAAGGACTTACCTAAGGAACAATCCCAGAGGACTGATGTTAACTTGTAAATACATAATACTTCTAGCTGTCACATATATTTGTTTTTTTTTTCATAAATACAACAATTCCTTAACTATTTGAGTATGAGAGACCCTTGTAAAAGTATCGATACAATACACCATTAGTGATTGTACTTTTTACGCTTAAAAATCTTAGTGACGTGCATTCGTATTCAGACATCCAAGTTTATAGATACACTTATGCTAATCTTTTTTTTCTTTTTTGAATGTTATTCTTTTCCTCCAACTTTCTGTATTCATTTTGCGTGCTACTAAGAGCTGTTGTCATCACAATACGATTAATAATTTTCATTCACTCATTTACAGGAAACCATATACTTATTGAGTCACTTTTTCAAGGAATCCGAAGGTATTTTTGGGTGTTTTTTATTCCATTTTTGGAGAACTAGAGACTAAAAGTACTGCACATTATTAAATGGCTCAAGGTTAGAGTGGACGGAAAGCATCCACCATAAAATTAAAAGTTTTATCGGAGATTTTCCTGTGGACCTGTATTTGCAGTTTGACCTGCATGGGTTCTGACAAAATGCAAGCAAGACATCTTCTGTTATATATATTTTTTTTCACCAATGACTTTAAGTTTGCTTATTTTATGTTACATGCCAGATATGTGAAGTGCATTGGTAGTTGTTGCCTGTTAGGAAGAGGCTCTTGCCAGAAGCTGTTTTGCTACTTCTCTGGTTGTTTAACTTTTGGCAAAGTTTGAGGTATTTTGCATTTCCTGACTGGTTTTCCTTTAACTTTGCCCTGTATTAAGCTTGTCTATCCGGAAACTCTGACCAGCATCATTGCCTTTCAGCCTCACTGCCATCAGTGAGAAAAAAAATCCCTTCAGATTATTCAGCCAGTATAGTAAACTGTCATTTTTCTTCCCCTCCAAAGTGATTTTCCATATGGTGTTGGCCTAACATGACATAATCTACGTTAATATTTTTCTGTGGTAACATTTTTAAAGTAAAATAGTTCAATGGGTGTTGATACATTTTGCAAGACAGCATAAATATCCTAAAAGCCTTTATTCAGAATCTCCTTCTAACAGCACCTCAGAGTCAAAACTGATGAGCTATGTTGTCAAATATTTTTTGACTCTTGTCTGTCATTCTTGAAAAACTCTGCTTGAAAATTTTCTTGTTGTGACACAGATATAAATAGTTTTGTCTGACCTGTTTGTCTCCTTTTTTATGTTTTTTCTGCTTAGATTCGCGTTGATGGGCCTCCTAATGGTGGCGTCCAGTATGAGACGATCTCGGTCATAAAGGACGGCAGTCCTATCCTCAGAGACATGGCCTTCTCGCTTGACAACAACTTCCTCTACGTCATGTCAGAGAGACAGGTAGGTGTTGGTTTTTTCGGATGCCTTTTTAAACCCTGTTTAAAAAGGCATCTGAAACCCCTGCTCCTAATTATAGGAGCAGCCCCAACTGGCAGACTGGCAGCTATAATGCATTTTGTGTGTGCGTATTCAGATGCTTAAATGTCAGGGAAATGTTGTGTGACTTCAGTACGGCCCAGGATGGCTCACCTCTGCCCATCACCAAATCCACCAGCTCCTGTTAGCTAAAAATAATCTGTGTGGCACAGCAGGGGGACATTCTGACAGCCTTTGATAATGAAGGAGAAGAATGAGGGCATGGACAAAGAAAGAAATCCAGAGACAAGAAAAGGGTTAGGTAAGAATGAGAATAAGCGAGATAAAGGGCCTCTTCCTTTGGCTGGCTGTGACGTGGGGGAGTAATGAGAAAAAGAAGGACAGCTGGGGGAGTGCATGACTTAGAGTAAAGGGATGAACTGAGAGTGCAAGGTCATTCTTTCTTGCTCCAGATGAGGTGACACAGCACCGAAGGGTGAAAAAGGAAGCAACTGATATCTATCAGTGCAGAGGACGCTGGCCATGGAGAAAGGAGGAGTGGAGACGGGTGGGAGGGGGACACAAGGACGGGGCTGAGGTGTGGAAAAGGAGATAGTTTGAGAGAAAAGACATGACAAGTGGAGCTGAAGTGAGACAACGGTAAAGGGACTTAGTGGCGCAGCAGACTCGGAGAAAGACGACGTGTGAGGCTGTCAGTGTAACTGATGAATTACCGTTCTCTCTTCTTATCTGTTCTTTGAACACCGTGGCTGGTCACAGCACACAGGTTTGAACCCATACAGGGTATTGTTTTGACCAATTTATTTTTTTCTTTGTTCTTTTTCTTTTTTTGGCTACAAAACATGAGGCACAAGATAAAAAAAATCCTCTTATTTAGTGATTTAAATCAAAAGGTCAAAATCATATAGATTGATTGACCAGTGTGTTCTAGTTGTTTATGTTGATGATTATAGTTCACGACTAAAGAAAGCCCAAGTTTCTTTGAAAAACAAGAACATTCCATAAGATATTTTCAACTTTGAATGTACTGTCATAAACACACACCTTAATTTACCTATTTTTCATTAAGTATTTCAGAAATGGAGTGTGGAAAATATGAGCCTGTGACATTGCTGAGGTATTAATGAAAACCAACTTGTCTCAACCCCAGCCTTCATCTCATGGTATTTTTTTATTGTCTCTCATCTTCTTTCTAAATGTACTCAACAAATTCTTTGTCAACTATTTTCCTGGCCAATCCAGCACAGTGATACCATGATCATTAGATCAGATATATAAGGCATTGTGTGCTGGTGCCAAGTCATGCTGAAAGGGGAAAGAAAAGAACATTGGTATCTTTTCAAGCTTGTAAGCAAAGGGAAGCATGACATGCTCTACTGGCTGGCTATTGCTCTGGCTCTGATAAAACACAGCAGACCAATTCCAGCAGATGACATGAGACTCCAATCTCCCTCCAGACTCTGGGACTTTTTTTTTTCTTTGTCACTAACTGTTTAACACAAGGAGTGTGACAGTTGTTACCCATGTCCTAGAAATGTTTGACTGTAGGATGCCTTGAGGCAGGGACTCCAGTTGCAGTCCAAATTTGGTAATGATTCCTGAAATTCTTGAATGGGAAGCAATCATCTTTTCCCTTCCACTCAACTGTGCATTAATACAACTAGAAGAAGCTCTCTGTGAGCTGTTAGCTTAGTTTAAGTGAAATACTCAGTCAACACACCTTCTGAAAGGCATTACTTATGGCCTGTTGGATATGTAAACTGTCCATTCTGCCATGATTCTAGACATCCCATGGTCCTTATATGACACAGTATATTAAATAGTCATAATGATACATTGAGATAACAAAAATGTAAGTTTGTTTAAACCTGGAAGTTCCCTAAGAAGCTACATTTGGGGTTTCTATTGCCATAAAAGCCAAAAGCCATAATATTACCAATAGACCACCAAAAATGCATGTAATATGTAACTGTGTTCAATCAATCTCTATACTTTTTACTTTCTATATTTGATTTTAAGATATATTACAAGATACATTGTACGTATTATGATGTCAAGTTATTCAGCATTCTTTGATTAATAAAATTGCATATTTTTATGTATAAGAATAAGTCACTTAAACATGTAATATGATGAGACCCAAAAGGAATGTTACCTCTGAAGCAGAAATCTCTTCAATAACTCTTGGAAAAATTCATATTTCAGGTCACCTATATATTTTTGTTACCAATTTATTTAATTGGACAACTTGATTTTAATTGCATCTATTTTTTAGATCACTAAGACTCAGTTTGAATATATCAATACCACGCACAGTCAGAATGTGGAAAGCATGACATTGGACAGATTGCACAAGTGAAGAAGAGTTTGTACAGAGTCTGAAATGACTTTTCCCATGTTTACTAAATCCTTTATTCCCACTTATTTCACAGATGAAACAGCCTTTTGATGTTGAGCTCATAACTGCTAGTCTTCTGAATGAGAAGTTATGTCTGTGGATGTTATTAGTATTCAGCTTGTAGACTCTTCTGTCTCTCTCTGCAGGGGTTAGGGAGGATCGAAGCAGACACACGCACACACATTCGCACACACATGTTTAGCAGCTTTGGAGACGTTGCCTTGAATGTTTAACGATACAGTTCGATAGTCACACCTGACAGATTGGCTGAAATGGGATTCACTTCTGCTTTTTCTGTTTTATTGCAGGATTCTTTAACTCCACACCAACAGTTTTTTCAGATTTGATCCTGCTCTCTGTTTGCCTGATCTGGACAACTGAAATCCAAACACATGCATTAAAGATCTGTGATTTTTATCTCCTTTACATTACACAGCAGTTACCTTAAACAAGCCCTGCTGCACTCAGTGGGCAACATCTATTTGACCTTTATCTCAACATGGGTTTAAATGTCACCCAGAGTCACACACCCAAAGTTATCAGGAGATATATATCTTGTCTAAGCTCTGCTCATTCCCATGTGTCTGACTGATGCGGGCTGAGGCCGAGCACATGGCGTTGGGAGACGGCAGAGAACAAAGGAGGGATGATATCAAACAGGAACCAAGGCAGATTTGGCTTCAGTCGCGTTTCCGACTCGGAATAACAAAGAAGCTCTCTGTATTTGGCACAGTGGGAAAGAGAGAGAAAACAGAGTGAGGAGAGGAGAAGCAGACATGAGGCTGGAAGAGATGAAAACATAGATGGAGGGAGGGTGTGTGATATTGGCAAAGCAAGGCCAAACTCGTGGATGCGGGTTCCCGCTCCCTGCAGCCCTCACACCTGCCTGCATCTAAACATTAGAATTTAAACATACAAAAAAACAAAGCAAAAAAAAAACCACAAAGTACAAATGCAAAGCTTTCTTTGTGTTTACTTGCATTGGTGCTAAAGCAGAGAGTGTGCAGGCTTAATCAAGATACATGCAGGCAAGTTTTTTCATTCAGTATTCAAATTATATTCCTTTTTGGGAAATTCCTCAAACATTTGTTTGCATTATTTATAAACATTCGGCATCCAGATTATACTCTACAGGTTTCCTGCTTTTCCCTGGTTCTCATTTGTCACTTCCTTATGTTCGAATAATGGATGCTATCATTCATTTCCTTTTAGCTTCCTCTTTTCATATTCGCCCCATTCCGCTGCCATGTCAAACTGTGCTTTGTTTAGTAGATGTAATGACAATAGCAGCTGCAATATTAATGACGGCCCGGGACCAGCTCAATGCGAAGGCAGCGTAGTGGAACTGATTAAAAGACCTGGCTGACTTGCTTTCATTTATCCATCAGCCGCATCACTGTTTGTGTATATGGGGCGTGTCCTACTGTAAGGTGTTGGATCATCACCCTCAGTTTTGACATGCCCAGGTAAAGAAGAAATCTATGTTCACAGATATGTGTATATTCAATCTGGTACTTCAAACATATGTAAACCTCTGAAACTTTTCTGATATTCAACCAAAAAAATGTGGGATTTTATATGACTGGGCAACATAAAGTAGTGCTCTAAACAAAGCAGTTTGTGTTACATCTGCTGTGCCTAAATAGCGTGTGGACGGAAATGCTTTTGGATTTAATTTTTTTGCCATTCAACAATCTTACAACTAGGCTAAATGGTTGCGCAGTCCAAAACTAGATGTCCTGTCAATAGATTCTACCATACAGGATGTAAATCCATTCAAACACTGGCCTGTTGGCCTCTTCTTCACAGAACAGCTGCATATATACCTAGACTTATTGTCGTTTTTGTATGCACACAGTGTATATAAAACAAAATTTGGTTGCATACAACTTAACGCAGTCTAATTATATTACAGTTGGACTAAGATAAACATTACCAATATAAAGTGCAGCTTTGATCAGAATGTACCAATGTGGAAAAAAGAAAACAGTTTAAATAATGATTATTAAATAATGACATGAAATAGTTCAGTCGAATGCAAAATGTGTGTTCTATTTGAAAGGATTATAAAAGTTCAGCAACATTTGTAGCGCAAAATAATGTTACAAGTGTGATGCAGAGTCCAGTTTAGAGTTCAACAGTTCAACATTCTGATGGCAGTGGTGGAAAAGCTATTGCAGAACCTACTGGTCCTGCAGCGGATGCTGCAAAGCTTCTTCCCAGAGGGCAGCAGGGAGAACAGTCCATGGTGGGGATGTGAGGGGTTCCTGATGATTGGGTCACGGACTTGGGACACGCAGCGCTGGGATGAAATGTCCATAATGGAGGGAATAGGAGCCCCGATGATCCTCTCTGCTGTCCTCACCACTCTCCAAGTTCTTCCAGTCAGAAAATGAATTATAGACAAGATGTAACTAGTTAGTTTTTAGTTCAGTTTGCAGTACTTATGGCTAACAGGTTTTTAACCATAAAACCGTATCATTTACATATTTAAGATTTCTATGCTGCTAAAGGGAAAAAATATTTGAAAGTTCAAGCAATTAGTACACACATTAGATTGCTTGTT